ATTTTTCATTGATTTTATAGCTTGTCTCACTTCGTCTTTCATAATCGAAGGCCCTTCCATATTTTTCTTGATGATAGGTTTATACGTCCTATCATCATCAAAAAGTTCTCCTATGTATTCCGACCATCTGTTCAGTATTTCTGTTTTTTCCATGAGAATGGTTCCACTTTTTGATTTGATACAGCTTGAGGTGGTGCATCTTGATTTTCCTGTAATTTCGTTGATTTTTTCGTGAGCGTATTTCGTGTTCACATTCAAATTGTTCTCGATCTCTGAACATTGTTCATTTAATCATTTCTCTTTTGCCTCTGAGCATTTCTTCTTGATTTCTTTGTTTATCGAGCTGCATTCAGATAGATTTGACTTTTTGCGTCGTCGTTGTTCCATTAGTTTTAGGATGTCGTCAGTCATCCATTTCGTCTTTTTGTTCTCTTGAGCTGTAGAGAGAACTTTTTCAGCGGATGTCATGATCGTGGATTTCATCTGTTTCCACAGTATTTCAGTGTCTAGAGTTTCATTCAAAGTTTCGAACCGGTTTTGTACTTCCATTCGAAATTTTCCTTTCATCTTTAGGTCGATTTTGAGCAGATGAACTTGAAGCTTCGGATTTTTCATATTTTTTCTTAATCTTTTTAGTTTTACTCGAATTTCGTCGATAACTGGTACGTGATCGCTGCCACAGTCTGCTCCAGCAAACGCTTTGCAGGAGATGATAGAGTTCCTGAAGCGATGAGGGACCATAATGTAGTCTATCTGGTTTCTAGCCCGATCTCCAGGACTTCGCCATGTCCATAGCCTACGTGGGTGATTCTTGAACCATGTGTTCGTGATGACAAGATTATGTGATTGGCACCAGGTTATTAGATTATTTCCTCTATTATTCTTGTTTCCTAGGCCAAAAGATCCTACAGTATTACCAATTCTTTCGTCACCTACTTTTGCATTAAAATCTCCCATTACGTAGATGATGTCTTGTGAGTTGCATTGCTTGTAGGCTTTGTCTAGTTCTTCATAGAAATTTGTAATTGCGTCCTCATCATGGTCAGCTGTCGGTGCATAACCTTGGATGAAGGAGATATTGAATGGTTTGCCATGAAGTTTTACAAGCAGCACTCTGTCTGAGACTGCCCAGAAGCCTTTTACACTTTTAGATGTTTCTTTGTCAAAAAGTATGCCTACTCCTCTTTCATGTTTGTCACCTCCAGAGTAGAATATGGTATAGTTGTCTGTTGTAAAAGATCCGGCTCCTGTCCATCTGACCTCAGAGAAACCTAGCACATTGAGCTTCAGCCTCTCCATTTCTTTTTTGACGTTTTCCAACTTTCCCTTTTGGAACATAATTCTTACATTCCAGGTTCCTATTTTGAGTGAGTTTTTGGTACGAACAGTAGCCCGATGACGGTTAAGGGTCGCCTGTCCTTCATGACCATCTCTATCGAGCGAGGCGTTCTTTTTGAGAACCGCATTCACGCTGTTACTTCGACTGGAAATTTTGACATTGATCATGATGTGCTTGGGAGTCTACAGCGGTGGTTTCCCCTTGCCTTCCGCCGGATTGAGTTGGTTTACTCCATTCGCTAGATGGCCGGTAGTTCTCGAAGAACTCTTACGCCTTTGTCAGGAATTCACCACATTCCTGCAGGGGTGTCTAGGCACCCCTCTCACCCTGGCTAAGGCTTATGAAAACTCGATTCCTGTGAATCTTGCTTCTGGCGACCTCTACTCGCCTTATCATCTTGTTGTCTTTGGGTTTCTATAGTATTTTATAGGCGCTTTGATGCCATCCAAAGCTCCACCACACCCTGTTGACAAGATGGCCGAATTGTCCGGGACTGCTTATTTAAGTGATTGCTCGCTCTTATTCGCAGCTAACCATCATACTAATGGCCATTCCACTATCCGCAACCCGTGGACCCACTTGGTAGCATCTAGCTTTGCCCCAAGACCACGATACTAATTGACAAAAAACAACAAAAAAATAATATTACACTGAATAAAGATACAGTATGCCTTTGAATTAAGAAATAACGTTTCAAAGAACATCATTGGCAAACATGAGCTTATCAGTTTCTATCTTTTCAACTGATATAAGTTGCCATTCATTAATGTAAAAATTCAAAAACTAGAAGTTCCATGATCAGAAGTTAGACGATGGATTATAATCAATCATGTAGATAGTTATTAAATTAGGAGAGCTATAACAAGATACGGATACTGTTTACTATCAGCAATTTGATAAGGATCACAAGTCTATAACTTTTTTTTATTTCCAAGTTGTTTCAGAAGTTATCACACTCAATTTCTTTGGCGAGAATAATAAGTATTTCCTAAATTCATTCAAATATTCATTTAATATTAATACTTTAATTGGCTTTGTTTGTTAAAGGTAATAATTCATGAATAAACTTTGGTGTTGGACTCGCAAAGTATCAAATACATAAGATAAATATATTTTCATCGCTCTAGAAAAATACCACTCACATTTCTTTCGTTTCAGAAATATCATTATTGATTTCAACATAGACTAGACGAATTATAGATGTATGTTGATGCTTATTGAAAAAGTTGCTATGTGATATTTTAAACGGGACGATAAGTTCCGTGTGAGTAAATCAGATATAAAAATGTATTGTCAATAATAATCGACGGCCTCTATTTTCACGGATCCTTCGAATGTACACACTGCTCTCTTCGTATGAGTGTTTTTCTTTAGCAGTAAATTTATGTATACATTAGGCTTTTATTATATTCCCAATTTGTCAAATTTGGTTTGGGTGTGAACCTGCTCTTGACTGACACCACACTAAGACTCACTCTGATTCAAGAAAAGGTCCACAACCACAGCTGTATGTCGCACTGATGCATCCCACCCTAGACTCTAACTAAAGTTCATCGTTTATTTCATATTCGTAAAATCATTGAAATAATGGTTGGCTTCGACGCAAGAAACAGAAATATTAAGGACAGAAAGTATATTTGTCCTGTATATTTATTGATACTACGAGAACCTGTGCAATCCAGTAAATGCAGTCATCGACAGTGTCAAACATGTTTAAATGCTGAACAATAGTAAATTTCCTTCTTTATTTGAGATATTATTCTTCATTGATCTCTCTCAAAAGTGACAATTAAATGCTGACAATGTCAACCGGAAACTTTAAGATCCGAGGTAAGATAGCTTTTCATAATTGAAGAGAAAATATGCTTCTCTTTTCTTCTAGATACGGCTTGATCTTGGTGTCAAAAATGACATGAAATCATTATCCATTAATTGTTTCTTTTACCATTGGACCAGTGTCTTTCATGGTTATCAAGT